CTTATTCTTCATAATTAGTTCACACTGTATCTTGATATCAAACATCATAATGTCATCTGAAACCCTCTGTTTGTAAAATGTTTTAAAAGCTGGAAAACGTGTAAGGATGTTTCTAACTTTTTCAGGCATGCGTGTTCCATACATGATAAAGAAGCCGTTTCTGGGAGTTTTGTTCATGCAAACAATGAAACAGAATAAGAAAGTAATACTAAATGCAAATTAAGTAACAATGGACATAAACAAAGCCTTTTTCTCCATAATGACCCTAGATTTCTATTTGGAAAGTAAACTTGCACCTGAGGAAAGCAGTGGTGGTTGCGCAGAAGTATGTATCACATTTTCAAGTTATCGTATCATTTTGTATCTACTAGTTTGTTGAAGAACAAGTGCAACATGAGCAAAGTTACAGACAATTAAAGAATAATATGCTAAGTAAGATGCATCTCCTTGTAAGGTGACTAAGACAAATAAAATCAAAAGCAAAACTCACAGCAGTTTTCTTTTCTATCTTCTTTTAAAGAAGGAAAAGTACCCACACAAAACTGTCACTCCAGCCAAAGTTGTGTGCAGCTGATATTCTCTTTAATGACAACTGGAATTATAAGGCATATCTTGTTGTGTTGCTTTTACCAATTAGGTATTGCTCTAGTCCCTTTTTGAGTCTCTCTTATTGTCAGGTGTTGCGATGCTACAGTTCTTCATGTCCCAACTGGGCAAACCCACCCCAAACAAAACATCTTTACCAGTACTCTTTCTCATATTCATACTCATTATGCACAGAAAAATCTCTAAGTGGCTAGCAAAAATATGTGTGCAGGTTTTGTAAATTTATTTAGAGGCAAAATAAAAATATTCTACACTGCCTATCCCTAGGAAGCACAGATTAATAATGAAGAAACCATAATGCAAATAACTGTATCTCACATATGCATGCATGCAAATCAAAGAACAACTTTCATGCAAATTAGATAATGCCCTTCTAAATTTACTTAACTAAGATATATATGTTGCCTCTGAGGAAAAACAGAGAAATTATTCCACTAATATCATGACTGTCCAAGGCATCTTCAAAGGATAAAGAAAAAAAGAACAAGAAAACTGGAGAGGGAACAGAATGGCACATCACCAAATATTTTCCACAACAAAGTAAAAGACAACATAGGGCTTAGAAAATATGAATTGCAAATGGTGTCCTCAAGCCAGACGAATTCTGTGGACTGCTCCAAAGATATGATCATCAAGATGTGTAACACTATCTTCAACATCTTTGAAAGGAACAAAGTTGAAGAAAATAAAAGCATGTTAAACAATGCTAGGGACTGTCAAAGAGACAGAAACCAAGTAACAAGAGCAAAAGAAGAAAGCACAGTTCAAGCTGTACAAAAAGAAGCCCTTGCAATGAGGGTGAAAAATAGCCATAATAAACAACAGAGAAAATTCTTCATAAATCACAAATTCACTGAACCAGTAAGAACACAGGGAATTAAAAATCCTATCACTCCTTGTCTGCTGTATTTGTCTTCATCAAAAGCAGAATACATTTATTTTTTTTAAACTGCAGAAGACTTCAGCAGGCTCAACAAAACAAACTAATGGGAAAGACAAACGTAAAGTGATACTATCACTCCTAATTTTATGAAGTTAGGATTGACAAAGTAATAAGCTGAACTGAACAACTTCAAGAACAATGTGAAGACATTTCAGAATTCAAATCAAAATGCTGTCTTCAGTTAGGAAGTTTTAAAAGCCCATACTTGTCCAAATAAATTTAAAAAAAAGCTAAAAACTACGCCAGGAAGCTATAGTGAAGAGTTTAAAGAGAGACATGGGCAAGAATATATCCCCTTTTATGGCATATCAAGAAAATCTGCACTGCTTATTGTTGCTTTAAACCTGTTTTCCCTTTTTAAAATCAACATCTTGTCTACTTTGACTTGCCTCAAAACCTGATTTAACAGGTATGAATACCACAGGTTTCTGAAATCACATGGACAACTAATGAAAATACAGCATAAAAATTATTTACTCTTAATTCTTCACTTTGTTACATCTACACAAGAATGTGGACTACACTTAGCAAGAAAATTCAACTTTTTAAAAATTGTTTTGCTTGAAGATGTAAGTATTATGAGAAAAAAACCTGAAGTTTCCATTTACTGATATAGTGTATCAGTCAGAAAGATTTTATGACCTTCCAAAAGCAGACATCAGCAAAATTCAGAAGAAATACATGATTAAAGTAATTTCCATCACCTCTTTGTCCCAGAGGAGCCAGTGTACCACCACAACCACTTACACTCCTGAAGGCACTGTAGAGTTCCTGTGCGGAAAGGGCACAACAATCCCTTGAAGATCCATAGTCTAATGACCTTTTCTATGTTAAATCAGGACATTTAAGTGCACTGTAGTAAACAGAAATTATCAGTATCTACTGTACTTTAAAAAAAACAAACAACATAATTCCCAAAGATAAATACACAACTCTTCAATTTCATAATTTTACATGATTTGATGAAATTCTACTTCACCAAAAACTTCTGTACCACTGTCATGTTTCATCTCATTGCTTAAAATACCAGGAGTAAAAGGCCCTCCTGCTTTCTACTCACACATGCAACCTACTAAGCACTGTATTTAAGAAAATGGGTATGAATCAGCTTGCTTTTTATCATACGCTCCAGGTCACAGATAAGCTGAGGCACTAGAAGCCTCCTCTTCTACTTCTTCTGGGAAAAATTAGTTACATTCTTCATCACAACTCTGTTGATATGCTCCCTTCCACCACTCAACACAATCACAAGCAGCAGAGAGAACCTCCCGTGATTATTAACCATTTTAGGGCAATTATGTTATGGCTGAGTTACCATTTGTCTGAACATTTGAGTTTTATATGTCAAAAGATTTATATTTTCCTGAACTTGACATCATGGAAGATCATGAGATACCCACAAAGCCTTGATGCTAAATTTAACTATTTGTCAAAAAATCTGTCTTCTAGATATATGAGTAACTGTGGTTATCATGTTCGACTGACTGAAGCTGAGACATGCCTGCGTTAAGGAAAAAGCTACAAGGTACTGCCTGACTGATAAAAGATTCCTTTCAATTCTGCAGACGTCAATGTCCTGTTAATGGTTTTGCTGTGAAAGCTGGATGTGTGTCCCAAAACCCATTAGCTCTAGTCCCCTTACAGATGGTCCTGTCTTTTACCTATAGCTCTAGCTAACTCTTTAATTCTATCCTATGAAGCTTTAGAGATATGCAATTCTTTATTAATTAAACTTATAGACATTCTGGTAAGAGTTCTACATGCAAGTGAAACATTTCTACCAATTTAATGTTTAGTGGTTTCACTTCAGTGTGTTACTGACACCACAGTGCAGAGATAAAGGAGTGTTGGAGGGAAACAGGGTCTGTGCACAAGCCAGTCTGCACTCAGAAAAGAATGAGAGCAGCAAAAGATGCTTACGTTTTAGGTTTGTATTGACATACTTGTCTGATACCACTAAAACCGGAGCAAGTGGTCCTACTGATGCCTTTTTAACTGAGATTCACAGAATTTTTAGTTGGAAAAGGTCTCTGGAGTTCTTGTACTGGCAACACTAGATAGGGTCAGTTAGGGATTTGTCTAGTATGATCTGGACAACTGGTCAGAAAGGAGATCCCATGGACTCCCTTCCTGGTGAAGAGCCACAGCAACTTAAATTTTTCCTGAGACTGTTAAGGATTGCTTTTTCTTTTTTACCACTGAGTTCCTAACATTTTTTTTTTGCTATTGACAAATGCTTCTGTTGAAGTATGTCAGACAGGTAATAAACCATTACAGTCTATCAGACCTCGTGAGATGCTCAAGCATTCTTTCAGAAGCAGTATTTCTAAATCCTGCTGAAACCAATGAGATTAGAGGGCAGCCTACATATGGCAAGATTGATTTGTTGAAGTTTAAACCCCCTCCAAAAAGTCAAATTCATAACACAAGAGGAAAAAGAATGCATTAGTGTATTACAGTGCCGAACAGTTTATCTGAATAAATGTTGTGAATTAACACAATTTACACCTTCTAACTAAAAAGCAATCATAAACTATTTTATTGTATTAGCTTTACTATGTAGTAGGTACAGACAAAGAAAATTTTTTACTACAAAACTTACCAGTTTTTGGCATGACTGTTTTTCCTTCAAGAACTATACTCAACTTCTCAATCTTTTCAAAACTCAGCTTAAAAGAAAGTAACGCAACCATAATGCTAACATGTTAAGAATCACTGATAACGTTTTCATCATCACACAACTGACAAAACAATTTCTTAGCATGTTAGAAAGAAAATTAAAAGAATTTTTGACTGGCATTTTAAAATAAGATTTTTCAGAGTTTTTTGGATTTTTTTTAGCTTTTTGTAGATTTTAGAAGTAGTTCAGTAGTAAATGTAGATTTTCATGTATTTGTATAATATGCCACCCTTAGGTTACACATACTCAACCCTACTACCCCATTTCATATCAAACCCCTCTAAGTTCCTTTAGCGTGTTTAGTCTTCCTTTCAAGGTAGAATTGTAGAAAAACACCTCTGTTCAAGAACATCACACCCTAGGCCTGAACAACAAGATACCAGAAAAGACAAAAGCAACCTTCAAGTCCAGAACTTTGGAGGAGCTCCAAGGACTATACATGCTGTGAAGAAGATGAAGATGAGGAAGAAGGGATCCCCAAGACCCCAGACCCAATTCCCAAAGGGGAATGTTGGGGGCAGAACTGGGCAGACCCAGGAGGTAGATAAATCTGGGATTGGATGGACCTTATTATAAAGCCATAGAACCACTGCCTGGGTGTGTGTGTCATGTGTATTCCCTGGGCCTGAGGGCCTGATTAAACGATCTGCTCTTTTTATCTTATCTTATACACTAAATTGGCCCTGAGTTTTTTTCTCTGTGGTCTCTTTAGGTTACACTACCAAACTTAACTAACTTCAAATCCCTGAAACAGTCAAGCAAAACACATACCTGCAATTGGAATATTCTGTGACACTGAGAGCTGTACATCTCCAGTCCCAGGCGGCATGTCAATTACTAAATAGTCCAGTTGACCCCAGTCAACCTAGAAGACAACAATAAAAACGTATGTGAAGATTTAAGTGTTTTTATTTAAGGTACTTTGTGTTTTAGCGCAGTCCTTGTTTCCTCTGACGCACAAAAAGTGAACCCAGGACACCTCAAAAGACTAATACTCCAATGCCCTCTTAGTCACTCTTTCAGCACAGGATCAAACATTATTTTTCTAAGAGACATAATCTTTGCTGATCACTTAAAACTATGAGTTCAATTTTACTATAAACTTCATTGGCATAATTCTTTTTGAATTATTTCCCTGCAAAAAAGTAGAAATAACTTAAGACTCTTTACTTTGCAGCTGCAGTATCACAGGTTAGAAGCAAATGTTAGGTAAAATTCAGGCTAAAAATCAGGGGTTTGTGCAACAAATATGGTTTAGGAATTGTTTCCATTAATTTAAAACTACTTTTGCTTCCTTCTTGTTACTTGTTGAAATTACATATAAATATTTTTCAAATTTTTTCCATTTTGTTGTTAGAAACTTAGAGCCATCACTACCCATTTTTTTCCTAGGGAAAAAGAGGTGTTGGGAGAAAAAACAAAGAAACAAAACACCCCAGATTTGTTAAATTAAAATCATCAGGTATAATGATACAAACTTACAACACACATAAGACATCACAAAATAAAAAAAAAGTTTGCCAGACATCAAATGAGAGCAACCATTAAAGATATCAGACTCCAATATGAGAATGCTGTGATTACTTATGTTCTTTACTAGGACAGGTTTCCCGGAGAGCTAAATAACTCTTTCTAGAGCATGGTGCACTGTGATAAATGTTCTTTCATAAGAATAGAAACAGTCCTAGGCCTACTCTATATAATGTAAAGTCTAGCTATACTTTGCCTAAACATTTCCCAACAGTCTAACTAAGCTTTGGGAGATCCTCAAATCAATTCTGACATGGTGCAGGTTAATACCAGTACTATCTTACTAGCCAGCAGTAATGTGTATAAGGTGTTTCATCTCTGCACTACAGAAGCTTTAGAAATCAAAACCAGATTAAAAATAAAGACCCACAAACATCTCCCCCTCATTTTCCCCTCTACACAGATATAACACAATTATATGGTATGTTTCTGACTCATACAACACATATAAGATACAACCGTACGAGCTGCTTTAATACAGGAATACGCCAAACTAGAGCACTGTATTTTACACGTTCCCTCGAGCGTCATTTTAACAGCAAAAAAACAATCAACATTTTGCCAGTGCCCTAGTTATTATCATGGTAGTAGTACTAGACCCTGTCAGGGCAACACATTCATTTTCATTCAGTTCTTGTATGGTTGATGATCTTCTAGGGAAGCACATGCGATGTGAAATCCAGATCACTAACGCAATGTGCACTCCAGTGAGAAATGAAATTTTTCAAGGCAGACTGATGAAGATGGAAGATTTCAGAGCACTTATAAGAAAAGAGGGATGAGGAAGATTAGTTGCAAATTCGAACTTTAAATGTCTAAATTAGGGACTCTCAGGCACACCTCCCTTTCCTCATTTTCTATACAAAGGCTTCAGGGAATACTAAATGGTGCCTAAGACAGTCACGCTAAACAGGAAATGCCATTTATGTCAAGCATGGCAAATACTGCACTTTACTTTTTCACATTTAATATTGATCTAGATCATCTATATGATATTTTGTCAACAAAAATGACATATGCCTAACAGATTTCTAAAAGCAATTAGCATTCATAATTATATATTAATAATTATTTTGAGACTACATAACCCTAAAGAAAGATTACACATATGTGCAAAAATATACATACTGAAACAATCATGGGGTAGAGAAGCCAGTTCATCTAAATAAAAGTCTGTCTTTTACTTTGGTTTTCTTAACTAATCTTGCATGCTTATAATGCCAGATAAATGCCAGTATTTATGAATGCCTCCTTTTCCAGTAAAAATTACTTTGCTCACCTGAAGGCATGAACTTCAAATTTCTATGTTTCTTAATTAAAGATAAACCATTATAAAGGTGACAAATTGAAATTATATAGATGTTAAAAAGTAGTATTTACAACATGAGTAAATCCACGTTCCCTGAAGATTCACAACTAAAAACATGTGAATCTTTTTATCTTCTTTTATACTTATCTTCTGTAAGTAAACTTCATAAATCTCAATATGCAAATCCAGATCTTTTGTAATAATCACAACCATTTTGAAACACTAGGTAGTTACAGACATTTTTAGCTTTTAAAAAGCATTAATTCAGAATACCTTCCTCCCCCATGTCCTCATGAAGGCTGGTCCTGGCATCTTTTGTTAAGTCCAAATTTACAAGTCCAGTAATCATCATATACTCCTTCCTTAAATGCTTCTATAGAATACAGTGAACAAACTGGATTTTTGCTTTCTGCCTTGCAGCAAGATGCAGTCTGGAAACACAACTACGAGTGGCAGAGCACTGCTATTATTCTGACACAGTTTCTAGTAACTTTGTACGCCAAAAACACTTGCTTCTCAGATATATTCTCAGAAAAAAACCCTGGATGTTGAGTATTTTTAAGCCCTTTTCTCCATGAGCTCAAATTCAAGTCCTTTTAAGTACAGCACTGCCTCATGGAGTAGTAAAGACAATCCAAACCCCATCCTTTATCAAAGGTAACTGGAACAAAAAATAAATACACTGGGTTTTTCCCCCAAGCTAAAAGCTGTCTGGTTTTGCATACACTTGCTGGCCCTAACTTTAAGCTAGCTCCTCTTGTAAACAAAGTGACTTTCTGGGCTTGGCCTGTAGCTTTTCTTTTCACTCTTACCAGAGGTTTTGCTCCTCCAATCTCTTCAAGCATTAGTCTTCTCATCAGGTTCCGTGTGATCCTCCAACATACCAAGCACTACAGTTCCCCAAAGAAAATATCTAGACCTACTCCATTACTTTGTGCAACGCTAATGCAGATGACCTCAAACACCAGCCCTCAAAGCCTTTCCTAGGCCGCCTGTTTCGTGGGGAAACACAAATTGCTGCTCAAAAAGTGACTTCCAGAGTTTACCACATACAGTAAAATGGGAGAAAGGGTAAAGAAATAAGAGGGCCCCAGAGCTTCCTGCCTCAAGCTTCCTTAATAAGTGACCCCATAACATCCAACATGCACTTTCTGGATTGTCCTATGAGTAATGATTTTTAATAAAGTTACAACCTCTGGAAACAGATGTTAGTAACGGAATCTTAAGCGCATGGTGAATCTCATGGCAAATCTCATTGCTAGGCAACAGGAAAAATACTCTGTTAACACATAGTGCAACTAAATTATAATGCTTTATTTAATTTATGGCACTGAAAACATCTTAATTCACATATTTTCTTTAAATTCATGGATTGAAAAAAAAGAAATGAGCTGTCTATCAAATGACAGACACTGTAATACTTATAAATTTGAGCACAGAAAAATGGAGAAGCTACACCACCATCCCAGCAGCAGTGGAAAGGATGTCTTGCCACTGTGCAGAGTAAGAAGACGACAGGTTTTCATCATACAAGTTCAGAAAAGGCCCCAGTAAAGACAAGGTGCGCAAATATTGAGTACATGAGAGAACTACCCTCTACAAACCTCTCTGAGTCATGCCACTGCTGTGGAGCTGAACTGGTGAAGGTCAGATAGCACACTAGATTGGAAAACCACTCCTCATTAAAACTAATGTTGCTTTTTATTTTGGATGTAGTTAATTCGCAATTTAATTTTCTTCTTTTTCGTTTGTAATTCAGGGCAAGAAGGGAGAGCTGCACCACAACAATATAGCCATAATTTCTGGAAAAAACTGAGCTAGTGTTTTTGCCCACTACTGAGTGGTATCCTCTGGACATATGGATTTGCTCAGACTTAGGTTGGGAACTCTGCACATCACCCCATTTCTCTCAGTGGATTTTCTCTTCATTTGGTTCTATTCTGCAAGGAGTAGATGATGAACACTGTGGAGTTCAGTTGCTTCTCCGTTACCCTCCCATAGAAGTACAGCAGTATGAAAATCTTCTATTAAACAAATTATTAACGTGATTTGGATAATTTGTTATAGAAGTGTACATTTCATTTCATGGTTGGGCTTCACGAACAAAGATTTGGGAAAGGTTCTACCCACGCTTGTTGCAAGCGTGTTGGTGGCTGAAAAGGCCAATACGAGACAGGTATGTCCGGTTGCAGAAGGCGCAGCAGGAGGACTCCTTAGGAGGTATATTCTGCAAGGCACGATTCTTTCTGCTTTGTCTTTTCTTCTCAAGGGTGATCCTGCATGCTTTCTCAAAGGAAGCAGCAGCGTTATAGATGGTGTGTCTCCAGACCTCCCGATTGGAGGCCAGAGTAGACCAGTTCTGGTGATCAATATGGCCAAGGCTGAGATCTTGTTTTAGGGAGTCCTTGTATCTCCTCTTCGGGGTTCCTCTCATGCGGCAGCCAGTGGCAAGTTCACCATAGAGCAGGATCTTAGGGAGGCGGTGGTCCTTCATCCTTGAGATGTGCCCTGCCCAACGCAGCTGTGTTCTCAGCAACATGGCCTCAATGTTTGTGACTGCTGCTTGCTCTAGAACAGATGTATTGGTCACATAATCTGACCAGTGGATGTTTAGGATTGTACAGAGACAGTGCTGATGGAAGCATTCTGAGAGGTGCAGGTGGTGGCGGTAGATAACCCATGATTTGGATCCATATAAAAGAGTAGACAGCACTATGGTTTTGTAAACACTGATCTTGGTACTTTTCTTCAGGTGTTTATTACGCCAAACTCTTTTATGGAGTTTTCCGAAGGCACTATATGCCTTTACTAACCTGTTGTCTATCTCTCCGTCAATCTTACTGTCCAAGGAGATGAGGCTACCTAGGTAATTAAACTGCTGGACTGATTTGAGCTCTGATTGGCCAATGGTGATATGGGGATGATGGAAGACTTCCTGAGGTGCAGGTTGATAGAGAACTTCTGTCTTCTTTAAGATGACTTCCAGCCCAAAAAGCTCAGCAGCCTCAGCAAAGTATTTCATTTAA